TATCGGCGATATTGGGGCCTTACTTATGATAGGGTCTATAATTTTTTTTTAACTCACAGCCGCCCGGACGATTGATCTGCTGAAGTGGGTATGTTTCGTTTTGCCGTTTTCTCCTTATTATCCAATTTTCAATAGCAAACAAACCGTGCTCAGTAAAATGCATTCTATTTGTTTACGATGGATTATGTGTTTTGTGTAATTTCTAGTAATGCATAAATTGGCTGTACTCGACCTATTTTGCTAGCTAAAAACAACTTTATATCCAGACAAATTAAGTATGTCCCTTTTTGTAGATGAATTACTTACACATATCATATTTACAAGGATATAAGAAAATTTAATAATAAATTTGATTTTATCAATTACACCAGATGAATCGTTAGGTTGGCTAGAAATTGGGTATTAGTGCAAAACCCCAAGAAGATTACTGCAATTTGATCCTTTGATTGCAGACATCTTTATTTATAATGCTACAATATTATGTCAGCCAATCGGGTTTTTGTAATTGAGTCGGTTTAGCGGTATAAACATGTCAAATCACGATACATTTTGATTTTGCGATCAAAACTAAGGTTTTTTAAAAACAGATTTGAATAAGAGGCTCAATCGGGATAGATTTCCAATTTTCTCGACAGGCCACATTCCCGACACTGAATAAAAAATATATATATACTAAATCTGCAGGTTTTAGGAATATTGTTAAACATACGCGAAAATCCCATAATGTATTCGATTTTTAAGTTTTGAGATAAAATGTGCTATAACTAGTACTTGGGTTTTAGAAACTACTAGGCAGAAAGTTAGATCGGGTTAAATCTACAGAGTTTGGTTAAATACTAAAGTAAAGTTTTCTTTATATTATATCTTCAATAAACCCGGTGTTTCTCAAATATTTGATAGATGTTGTGTCGACTCTGCTGTCTTCGGGTCATGAGATGCTCTCTTACTTTATCGATAATACTTAAAGAGTTTTAAAAGACATTTTGTATTCAACAATATCTACTGGTGATTATTGTCAATTTCCTTCTAAACTTGGATATTTGTAATAAACAAGTTCAACGTGAGATGAAGACAGTTGGATGCATACTATCTTAAGAACTGCATTGCGTGATTCTGAACTTTGGGGAATAAAATTTAACACTTCGTGAATGCTTCAAAAGGAGAATTCAAAGTTATAGTTCAGTCGGTTAAATATGCATTAAGTAAGAGCTAAATCTTCCCATGGAAGATGTTTCTTATGTTATGTAAATTATTAATTAGACATTCATTTACATGACAAGCCTATAATCAACCCTATAGATCATCGGATGGTCATTGGTTAAAGATGCATTATGTAAGAGCAAATTCTACCTATTGCAGACCTTTCTTTTGGCTCCAAATACATATGACAAGCCTATAACCAACCCTCTAGAGCATCGGATGGTTGTGATTTTGCACGGATTGAAACACGATCGCCATTTGACAATTAATTTTCAAAATGGATAATCGAGACTTTGGTTATCATCGTTAAAACGAAAGCAATAAATAAAGAGATCGCGCTATTTTTCAAACAGTCATAACTTTACTTGAAATGAAGTATTTTGGCTGAAATTCTCAATTTAATACACCTTTTTCATTATCTATTGTTTTAACTATTTCATCGAGAACTATCAGCTCTTTATGTAAATCTTACATAATCCATCTTTAATGCGATATAGACGTATGCCACCAAGCCACAATCATATGTGGCTCTTTCGAGCTTTTTCAAAGAAAGAAATGCCAACATCTAGTTGTCCGCTGGAGTTGGATACGAGTCTGTTGACTAGCAATATTCTTGAGTCTGGATAAACATGCGTGTGATTTTCGCACACTGGCAATGGGGTAAAGTTCTAAAGTTATTGCCCATGACATTGCGTCATTCAAACTTGTAATCAATCCACAGGCCATACTTCGAGATTTTTTGTTTCAATCCCTGTAATCGCTCTACAGAACAGTCTTTAATTTGCTGATACAATTTACCTAACAAAAATGGATGAATTCCATCGAAAGTCATAGCCATCCATCATTTATCTTGCCATCCAAACCCTCTATCGACATAGAGGTACAAGTTTTTGGGATTGTCTGATAAGTTATATGGACAAATCTATCTAAATCAGAGTTCTGCATCACTTATTTGCATTGTTTTACCCTTGTCATATAAATCTTTGAATCGATGTTCAGATCATGGAAATGTGTAGCTACACGGACATCAAACTCCAGAGTCATGTATCAGTGTTTCATCCTTGTAATTACTGCTTCGGGCTTTTCAGGTGAACTTTTCGGGATTGGCTGACTAATTATAAGTCATCTGTCATCTTACCCTGGTCATTGAAAGGTGATTTTTTAATACAAAGTGCTTTGATTCTGATACAGTTATTTGCGAAATAACCTTTATAAAATGCTCGTTTTAATTATTTCTTGACAAATCTTATAAGCGCTATCTTATACCCCCCCCCCCCCCCCCGCCTCCATCGTAAATGATTTTTTCGATCAGAACTAAACGGCTCGGTATTTACAATCCAACCGTTTGCTCATATCTTGACTTTTGAATGAATTTTTTTTTCGGAATGAGCGCAAATAATTTGACTACCAGATCTTTATATTCCATTCGGTTCCATGTTTACTTTTCGTATTTCATAAACGTTGACATACGACTGCTGAATTCAACATTAAAGGGTGAAGTGACCTTTACCCATGTGCTAGAATGATACAAGCCGGTCAGATTTCCAATCACAATATGCTCTAGATCCTGGAAGAGGACACTTACAAGAGAAAATGTTGGACAACTACCCTATTAACGATCTCTATATGGCTTTCTTATTGCACAGCTAATTACAAGTATGGAGACCTGCATTTCTAAGATGTCTGGGATAGATGCGACCAAGGGATACATGAGAGAGGCAGTATAATCTTATTCTTTTTATTGACGATATTGCCTAGCTTTTTTTTTATCACTGATGTATAGTGACAACCTCAGACACATTGCAAACATCACCCAAGACAGTATTTCCTTCAAAGAAGTTTTTTTTTAATTCAACGATATTCTTAGGGATTTATAGAATATCGACATGCTTGTTATTTGCTTAGAGTTAGAGACTACTTGTAATATGCACTACAGTTTTATCAGTAAATTCATTCCCAGATATGCAATTATTGTGTTTTTGTTCCAGACCTTTCGTAGAACGGATTCGTCCATCTGCCTGTTTGTCGAATGCTAGTTTGGACTTGGATTTTAAACGTCAAACCATGCAGCGGAAGGTAACATCAAAACAATGTCCACAAGTCAAACTATTTACAAAACGTTCTAGATAATTTGAGAGAAAGGTTGGATTTGTTTTTTTAGATACCGTTGTTAGTTGGTAAACAAGGGAGAATGATGCCAGCAAAGTTGTATAAAGTCGAAAGTAACAAAAGTATGTGAGCTCGCCAAACCACGAATAGGAATATCAGAAAGGTGCCCGATACCTTAATTAAGTATTGGTAAATCATAGTTGGACGTAGGTTTTAAAGGGTAACTACTCCGTGGAAGGTAACCACCGGGTCATTGTCACCAGCAAAGAGGAAATGTCATCTCAATCAACTCTCTAAATACGTAGTATCGGATGCCGTACTTCTTAATTGGGGGTGATAACCAACTGCATATAAATTCACAACCGTGACACGAAATGACCTAGTATATTTTCTTACTATATGTAAAATAATAGGCTAGCACTTATAATGATCTGTATTATATATCGATATTATAATAATATTTTGTTTTACAACTTGTATATTGAATATTTAACAGCCGTCGATTCTATTTGTTTGATTTTCATTCATTAGTAATATGTAAATCAATAGTGATACACGGCCTATAAAATGGCGACCTAATTAATCTATCCACGTGTACATAAAACAGCTAAATTTTAAAGCATTTTGAATAACTTTTACTTTTGTCTTATTACTTTTGGATTAATTGGGCTCTTATACGTCTCTCTTTATCCGCCCGGTCTCCTATATCACCTCGGTGGACGCGGACGTTAAATAAAGCTATTTCACGCACACACACAAATGTGACTCGAAAAATCTATTCCTTACTATTCATTTTGGTCTATAGTCCTGGTTACCAATTTGCTTTTCAACAGTAGAACATTACTTTAACGCACAGTGTCGGATTTAGGGCGAAATGGGGTTAAATGTCCAATAGACACAAACTAGGCTATATCGGGACTAACATCTTGCACAACCCCAAGATAATCCACAGGCGACTCAGTTGCTACGACAGACCTTATGCTCTTAAGAGCACGCGTTAGACCACTTGCCCCCTCCCCCCCTGCTGTTTGCAATATTCATTATTGTATTCACACTCAATAACGCTCGTTCGTTCGTAGACAAGACTCAATAACGACCGATTATAGTGCACATACTCAATAGACTGTGTGGTTAGCCTTGTTTACGCAGCCCCACGTAAAGAATTGCATAACAATCATTGGTGTGAAAATGGCTGCCCACTCATATTTCATTACACCATAGTAGTAAGCCATTTATTAATAAAACAAAAGTGGGATGAGGGTCCTACATTGAGGCTTAGATCATAAGGCCTGGCCTCGTTGTAAGTGTCGAAGATTCGATCACACGCTTAACAATATGCCGTACAATCACTTGCATAATCTGCTCCCACATTAAAATTAAGATGTGTTTATGATATACCCCATTTCTCTCTATTTAAAATGAGTGTATTCCACGCGTAGCATTATCACACAATAATCTACATGGATCGGGAAATTTGATAAAATGGGACACAGGAATTAAAAGCTAACACACATTTGCTACTTCTTCATTCAAGGTTTGACATAAATCACGTGATCTATATACTTCCACAACTAACTATCATCGATCGTTTTTTGTTATCTTCTGGTTATGAAGAGTAGAGTGCGGTATCTGTCGCAATTTACTAAACTGTTTCTATATTCTGCACTGTGTGAGGCATACCTCTAGATAGAGGTGTTAGCATAGGAACTTCCAACAGACAACCTGAAGTTTAGGATTCTCTGATGTTTGATTAAAATTAGCAGGTGATAGCTATTAACCCGGGAAGTACAGACTATTAATTCCTAGTTATTATATTACTTTATGGAAGTTATAATTTTGTGTTCATTTTAAATGGTGTACTATAATTTGTTAAATGCCTACTTTGTGGAAGTTTATGTTTATGTTTATGTTTGCGTGTTTATGTTTCAAGACAACCTAATTTAAGTGAATACTGGAAAGAAAGTAGAGCGATCAGAAAAAAAACCCAATACACTGTAGGAGGACATTAAATTTTATGGATGAGCTAAAGTGTCAGAACCGGAAGTCAATTAGAAGACAACATATTATTGGCTACTTACACTTTAAAATATTGTTGATGAAAAATGCAAAAAATGAAGACTTATTGAGTATTTGATTCTATTCCTTGGCGCCTTATAACAAACTATGATCAGTATTCTGTAGGCAATAATATTTTAACGGATAACTTTACAGCGAGGAATTGAATTTTGAATAGGTGCTGATCTTGTTTCTACTAATGATGACAACATGAAGTGTGTACAAAGAAATCATACAAATACAAGGTTTTATTGTGAATTATATTCTTGTTAGACTCTAACAGTACATGGTAAAACACGATAAAGTGTAAATTAGTTAAGTAATTACATATCTCCTAGTGTTCATAGACAAACATAGCCACACTGCTTTACTCGTACGTGTACAAGTACGAAGTTTTGTGCGGTACTGTGCTTTACAGTACCTAGCACCAAACGTATGTAGGTGCTAAATGATCAGTTCAATAAAGTAGTAACAACTGAATTATCCGTTTTCAAGCTTCCATAGACCAAGCGATACCTGCTGCCTTTGTTGTATTGTTATAATACGGATTACTTACACGTAAGCTATACTTTAACAATAATTTTTCTATGCATCCAATGTATCCCGGTTTGGATTGGAATAAAATAATACTCTGTATATAAGAGACCTGGACATTAAATAATCAAACCCAAACACGCGCTCGGATATTACATAGTAAAATAGCGGGTAAGCAATTATTCTGGTAGGAGTTCTTCTCCAGAGAAAAAAATATTTGAGTGTTTTTCGTTGCGCCAAGAGAACAAACACACACACACACACAAACTACTTTGCGAGTGAAAATTGAGACTCGACGTTTTTATTCTTGGAACAGATGTGCAAATGGACTTTAGGACAAAATCAACAAACGTCGTTTCAGGTTTCTGTAAAAAAAAAACATTCTCATTGGAATTTGCCGGAGGAAAATGGTGTGACGGTTTTTTTCTAAAAACTGTAATCGCTTGTCAAATACGATTGGTTATTTTCGCAAATCAAGGTAAATGAAAATTTATTTTTTTTCTCTAGCATCATTTCATGAATGAACGGAATTTGGAGTATCTCATTACCCCTGAAAAACTCTTTTTTAGCTTTAGAATGAAAGACTAATGATTTGTGTCTTAAGGGAAATATATTATAAGGCTACTCAACAGCTCGTTATGATTAGTTAGAGATTTTTGTCTGCGATGTTATGTTTTATGAAACAGAATTCGAGGAAGGTAAACATTTGGCATATGAAGGAACATAAATATTTTGATGCCGCTGTATAATAATAATAATAATAATATTAATAACTGTTGGAGGTTGATCTGTGCCGCTCATAAGATTTTAAATTTATAAAACATACTTTTTGTGAAAAGGTGCTTGCTGCTGAATATATTTCACCCACGACCCTCCCCCCCCCCCCCCTCGTTTTGGCGTTCTTATCCGGGATAGAAGGGGATTTCAAGTTCTTAAGTTAAGTGTTATGCTCTACCGGACTATTAGTGAAATTTTAACGAGAAAATTAACGTTGTACACGTAAGTCGAATTAATTCAACTCTCAGGGAGGTGAGAGGGGGGGGGGGTGTTCTTAAGGGAGGAAGGAAGGGTTGGGGCCTTCTTAAGCACCGTTTTTGGAGACATCTAAAGTTGATCGACTTATGCACCAAAGTTGATTGTTTTGTCGGACCCCCCACCTCCCATGGGAAGGGCACCCGCAACTTCAGAATCAAGGTTCAGAGTATCGGGCAACCTAAACCTAGCTCCCCTACTAGTAGCAGTATATTGACTATACCACTCTACTTTGATATACCAACCAAAATACACACGTTTCATTGAAAGTAATCTGTGTGTTAAAGAGATATCATCGCACCGTTTAGCTAGAAACCATGCCACACAAATGGCTGGATGTGGTTACTTTTTCAAACAAAATCAACATTGTTATTTACATGTGCAGCTCACATATAGCTAATTGTATATTAATTGTGTGTATGTTATATCATTTAAAAGGGTTCAGTTATGTGTATGGCATAATACAAATTTCACTAATTGGCGAAACCATTTTTATGCTGAATTTATACACGTGTTTTGGTTATGGTCTATGCTACTTCATTTTTGAAGAACATTATTTTAAACTCCATTGTAATTAATTCTGAACGATGTTGATCTTGGTGATCATCTTGTCAAAAATATATGATGGAAGAGGGGTATGTCATGATGATCTATTTAATATTGTGCAACGTTAAAGTGCTTCACCCGGGTTTTTATCGAATACATCTTATGCCCAGGTGATCACGGGTGGATTCGATTAAGATATCATGGGGACCCCAAGGTAGAGGGAGTGTCTTCACTGTGCCCACTTTTGATTAATCCAATTAAGGTCTAATTAGGATTAGTGGATTAAGCGGATTAGGATTAGGTGTTATAGGTAATTATGGATATATCATACATCACATTAGCACTTTATAATTTAATGAAAATATAACAATTTTCGATGTTTTATATATAAAATATTTAATAAAAATATAACATACATGGATATATCATACATCACATTAGCACTTTATAATTTAATGAAAATATAACAATTTTCGATGTTTTATATATAAAATATGTAATAAAAATATAACATACATGGATATATCATACATCACATTAGCACTTTATAATTTAATGAAAATATAACAATTTCCATCGAATTACCTATAACACCTAATCCTAATCCGCTTAATACCCCAATCCTAATTAGACCTTAATTGGATTAATCAAAAGTGGGCACAGTGAGATGTAACCAGAGAGACCCATGTGGGGATTAACGAAAACAATCTCCAATAAAATTACGGAAAATATTAATAAATTCAACAGAAATAATGGATTCGACAGTCATGTATGTTGTTGTTTTTTTGGGGGGTTTTGTTGTTTTTTTGTCATAAAAGATTTATCATTTAGGACATGAACAATTTTAGAAGCTATCTTTAACCCAGTAGTGCATGTATTATATTGCTATTTAATCTCAGAGGGGGTGACCTAAGTCAGAGTAAAGACAGAGTATGGGCACATTATCAAGCTTGTGTTTTAGCGTCAGTGTTTTGTCCGCGTGTTTGTCGTCTGGGTTTCAAATGAATTGTTTTTTGTGGCCCTGTTCTCTATCTCTGAAGATGTCCTGTTTAACAATTGCTTCCTCGTTGTTATATTTTCGCAAGGATAATATAATCTTAACTATAATTTATTTTAACTAATAGGATAGTGTTATAATCTCATCGATACAAATATCATATAATTATGCATAATTTTTACTTACATTTATCAATATTTCTTTAGGACAGAGTGGTCACAGTTTTTGTTAACCTGTGCAAATTAAATCATATATCACTGATTAATATGCCGTGGTTTCGAATCCACGCTTTTATTTTTGCCTAGTTAACCTCGTGGCGTTTCTCGGTAGGGACGATTTACCCAATTCCACCGAATACTACCAAATACCACTACATACTACCTCAATACTGTGAAAAACTAGCAGAATACTTCAATTATATATAAAAAAATTGTTTAGTTAATTCATGGAAAACTTGCAAAAATGTTCGGCAAAAGTGATGGCTCGACGTTCAAGTTACCTCCCCCCCTCCCTTAATCCAACCAATATTATACTCACAAATATTAACTCACGAAGTGAAATGGAGTTTAACGTCCTAAATTAACTCATACTACCAGAAGTCAATCCATTTCTGTAAACTAATTGCCCAGAAAATGAGATAAAAGTAAAATTATTTGGAACATAAATTATGTATTCAATGTTTAGCCGTGTCATTTATCACTGTTACTATAAATAGATATTTCGAATGTTTGCACTTATTATAGGATTTACTTCATTGGTATTGATACTATGAATAGACTTTTCCAGTTTATCGTGAAATTTGTGCTAATTCCCGGAATTAATTCAACTTTTTTACATATATATAATTGAAGTGTTAGGTTAGTTTTTCTTAATAATAAGGTAGTATGTAGTGGTATTTGGTAGTATTGTTGTCCTGCTGTTGTTTCTCCTGTATCTCCCAATTGTGAAAGCGATTTATTGAAATTGTGTTGGTTGGACGTTAGACCCCCCCCCCCCCTCTACCTTTAACGTACACTATATAAATTTTTGGATGTGGTTGAATGCCAGAGAGATGTGCCTTCATCAACCCAATGTCGCCTTATAATTGTTAATGCCCGTTGACAAGCTTGTGATTTTTAGATGGAGGGAAAGTAATATGACAGATTAAGTGGTGCACAGTATTGAAATAGTGTACGGGCCACTGTGCAGAAGCAATGGAAATTCAGTTAACAACCCCACCCCCACCCCACTGTAAGGCAAGAAACTTGTTACACAGTAGTTTCTTTATTATAATTGCACAAGTCATTATTCCATTAAATTTTATTTATGTATTTTTTTAGTTTCTTGGAAATCACCGTGAATGATTATAAACTGACTATAACGCAGCCGTCTGGCGAATTTCCGTAAACTGTGCCAAAGTTAATTTTCAACTGCAGGCATGTTGTCTCGTAAAACTTAAATACCAAAGAAAATCTCACTTAAAAATAAACATATTCTTAAAGAAAAATCATCCGCCATATATCGATATGGCCTTGGTATCAGTCAATAAATATAGATGCGCCAAATAATATTCCCAGACGACCAATTACACAACACGCTTATGTAACATGCATCAAACAATGACGCGGGACAGACATTCCTGCTATTTATATCATTTCTCAAATACAATTAAAATTATCTCTATTGTCTAAGACTATTTGTATTGTATAATCCTTATTGAGTTAATGACGTCATGTCGTTTTTTTTTTTTACAGATGTATATCAATTACGTAGTTCTTTGTTTATTTTTTAGAAAGACGATCCAAAATTGAAAAGTTCATAGAATTGGTCTGGCGGGAGAAAGCGCCGAATTATAATGACCGAAAATAGTTGATATGTGGTGCAAATCCTCTACAAACTTAATGGTGTTTCTAACCAACGGTTACTACTTGGATTTATTTTATCAATGTTTCAAGGGATATGTTCAATTCTATAAACTATGTTCAGTGTGCAAATCTCGGATTAGCAGTCTAGTTCGTATGTCGAGCAGATCATCTACAGTGAACGGCAGTTCGCACTCCAAATTCAGGAAATATTCACATTTTGTTTCTCCCAGGTTGCCCCGCTCGAAGGATTACATGCAAAATTTTACAGAAAATATATCCGACCCTTTCCAAGTGACGGATGTGTACAATAATATATCAGATGATTATAACGCTACAGGTGGCGACGATGTGATCGATTATGAGTTAAAACATCCTAGCATTGGCATCATATTGGCTTTCTTCAGTTTTATAACTATTGTCGGAAATATAATGGTAATGATAGCCGTGTACAAAGAGATATATCTGCGAACAGTGACCAACTATTTTATTGTTTCCTTGGCAGTGGCCGACTTAATGGTTGGTGGTATTGTTATGCCCTTTAGTATCAGCCACGAAATGACCAATCAGATCTGGCTTTACGGACCAGCATGGTGTGATTTGTGGCATTCATTAGATGTACTCGCATCCTCGGCTTCCATTTTAAATCTCTGTGTGATCTCATTAGATAGGTATTGGGCAATCACGGATCCGATCGCTTATCCATCGAAAATGTCTACATGTAAAGTGTGCATGTTGATAACTCTGGTGTGGCTGTGTTCTGCTGGGATATCGTTCCCTGCCATTGCGTGGTGGAAGGCGGTAACACCGTCAGATTTACCGGAACATAAGTGCCTATTTACTGAAGATACGGCGTATCTTATTTTCTCCTCTCTCGTCTCCTTCTACTTCCCTACTATAATAATGATGTTTGTGTATTGTAAAATATATAGAGCAGCAGCCGCTCAAACGAGGGGACTCAAATCCGGGTGCAAAGTGACTTCAAATGGTCTTCGTGGTGACGGCGAAGTTATGACATTGCGCATGCATCGAGGTGGCATGAGACGTCTCCATGACGATTATAACTTTCCATCGGCTAGTGAGAGTGACGAAAGTCCAGCACACCCATTACAAGAAAACAAAGAAAATGGACAAAATCATGGTTCTAGACAACATGGAAAGTTTTTAACAAAGCGCTTACGAAACTTTGCTCTTAGTAAAAAACTAAGTAAAATAGCACGGGAACAAAAAGCGGCAAAAACACTGGGTATTGTTGTTGGTGTATTTATAATGTGTTGGCTTCCATTCTTCATATCTAATGTGTTATTTGGTATATGTAATCATTGTATCAGTTCGCCTGATCTACTGTTTTCCATTTTTACATGGCTCGGCTATATTAACTCGGGTATAAACCCTATTATATATGCATTATCAATGCGAGACTTTCGTCGAGCTTTTGGTAAGATGCTTTTTGTATGTTGTCCAAAATACCGGGTAAAAAATAGACGCCGGCATCCAAACCAAGGAAGCATGTCGAGTTCGAGTTTTTCAGTTAATTGTGGAGACAGATGTGTTGCTTTGAAAATCTGACTATGTGATTAATTTATTTCAAACGAACGTTATAATCCGATGAATTTATTTCTGATTAATTTATTTCAAACGAACGTTATAATCCGATTAATTTATTTCACGAACTTAAAAATAATATCATTAATGTATTCTGTATAGTTTTAAACTACTAAAACATTTTCAAATTTATTTTGTTCTCATTTTATCTTGAGATAATGAAATTTTAATTATGCCTTAAACCAGAAAAGTTTATAAATAATTGAATAGTCTATGGAAGTACAAATGTACTATCTTTAGGATGTAAATTCAGATCAGTGCAATAACACCTACGCAACTCACTATAAAGAACACAAACTTATGAAGACGATGTAGTAAAGGTACAAACGATCTTCTACGTCATATTAATGTGCCTTGTGGAACCAGATACGTTTTCGAGTTTGCAGTTTACAGACCTGCTGTGAAAAAAAAATTGATATGACTAAATTAAATTAAATCGATGCCCCCTTTAATAACAAAATGTCCTTTGTAATAAAACACACAACTACCTGAAGAGATGAAAGGATCGTTGTGCTCTATAATCTGACGGAATAATAAAAACCCTGATTAATTCTATAAATTATTGTTAACACTCTAAAAATATCTTCAGTTGGGCTTCAGAACGAGCCTAATACTGCGTTATTAAACTATATCGGATTTTTTTTTTTTTTTTAAATATATCAGCAATCTTTTTATAAAATATATCAGCAGTCTTTTTATAAAATATAAAATTCAGGCTTTGTAATAAAACCCCTACCTACTTTTAGATAGATTGGTTCAGGAAAGTGGACCGTTATGTTTAAAGGTATCATCGCAAGCCCCAATTTTACTGAAAAATAAACAAACTATTTTTAATGATGTCACCTTTTTATACGTCAATGTCTCTGTGTGGGTGGGATATGTGTGTCTGTGTATCGCCTACAGGCCACAATTCTCACGTCTTGAAACTGTGCATACATAATCCTTGTACACTAAGAATGACCCGTATTGTTTCTGGAGCATGCCCGACCCCCAGGGACATTGTCACGCCCAATTTCTGTTGTTCATACTTATTCCTTATATCCTAAGATAACTACTCTTAGGTATTAAATACACAAAAGAACTACATTATTTGTCGATTACTAGCACTTCGCTTATTTTATTAAACTCTTCATGTAAACAACATTTATATAATACAACCAGTTACTATGACGTCATAGTAACACAGTCGTACAAAGAGGGGACATAAATAGAATATCAATTCAGACAACAATAACTAGGCCTATATGCAAAACAAACCCAACGGCTAGTCTTCTTTGCCACTTGCAGTCAATGCTGCAATTTCATATTTCATTCTCTTCATTTTAAAAAGTACATTATCAATTAAAGTAGGAATGTGGACGTATGTTGCAGCGGTAGCGATGCTCTCGTTTAAAACTGACTCTTATCAGTCTTGTGTAAATCAAATAATAGAAATGAACAATTTATTTATTATAGCATTTTTTTCCCTTAAGTTCAATCTCTGTAAATCCATAGATGAGAAACGAACAATGTATTATATACCGGAGATGTTTATACATGGTAGTTAAGTGTTCCGTTAAACTCCAAAGAATCCATACAGCAGCAAAGGTCTTGCTTGCATTTACATATCCGGTAAAGCATTTTAAAACAGAGTGAATTCTAAGTCTATTAAAACAAGCCCCAATTACACGTTGCGAAGCCATACCATTTCACAAATGACAGACATTTATATATACAGGATAATTGTTATGAGACAAAAATGTCTGGAAGTGATGACCGCTACATAATCATTAACGTCTCTTATATTTTGCGCATAGCCATAATCTGTTGTATCTATTTCTATGATTCTGTGTGAAATACGACGTTTGGCCCCGACTTTTCGCGTGATCAAAACGGCTAAATACTATTCTTTTCAGACCAATTTTCTTCTCGACCTATAGGTTCTATCTATAGGTTTAGGCCCTTACTACATGACTTTCGCGGCTCTGGATTATGAAAGAAGCGGTGTACAACTAGTGATTTCCTTCTATATGGGAGATAATACATCGATACTATAAAAAATACAAGGAAATTCTCAAACGACATAGTAAGCAAATCATAACTCGTGCATGACACCCATCTGTGATTACACCTACAGCTATATGATATTTTTAACGCACGAGAGTGCCACCTATAATCTGTGTTATTGGGTAACATATTATACACGCAATTGAAATTACATTTGATCTAAAATATACTCTCATAGAACAAACAAAATAAACTATTGACACCTTGATATAATCAGGAATCTTCATTGATGCCACGCTCGAAATAGCCAAATAGTTTCATTAGGTTTATAAGACAATCAAATTCTTGCATGTAGAATCGATGTAGGGTTAAGATGAATTGGAGCTTTGGAAATCTTTATCCTTTTTTTCCCGGCCATTAGTTGTCAGGGGCGGATCACGAGATAGACCATCGTGTGTTATGCAGTGTGTTATGGGGGCCATTTTGCCCGGACAGGGTCGTTTCCGAGATCCTGGGTTCGATCCCGGTGTTGGCCGAAAAAGTTCCTCGGGATTTTCCGGTCTGCAGTACCCTTGTCAGTGGTGTAGGGTGGAGGACCTGGCTAGGAACAGAGTCTAGTCGCTCGGTTGGGACGAACGATCGAGGTCACGTGTACATGTAAAATAGATCTTTACGGTTAGAAACGAAATGAAATGAGACTTGACGTCCTACTGATCTGCTCCTATTGGGCTAATGAAGACGGGTTACAGTTAGTAATTGAAGTAAGAGTAGACGATACACTGTAATGTTGATATCGTTGACTAAGCAACAAATAACTGTTATAAATGAAAATATACAACACTAATAGATCAAAATCGTCAGTTTATATACATAATGTATATTAGTTAAAATTGTTAGTAATCAGGCAGTAGTCATTAAGTAGGTGTTTTGTCACTAAGGTGTTAAAACTGTTGAATGATATGTATAGGATATTATATAACCTACCCGGGGTTAATATGAAAGAGAACATGCGGGCGTTCGCTCCTGGTACCTGTCGTCGAGGAGCTGACAAAATCTTAACCCGGCTTTGATAGTGGTATGCTACCGACTATGTGCAGTTAGTCACCGTGATAGATAATAATAAATCAGTTGAGCCGTGCCACGCATAAACAAACACTTTTAAGACAAACCCGCGGAGAAGACACACGGTATACATAGACACTGCACTGGACTTTTTTTCTTGGACTTATGGACCCCTCCACTGGACATCGGGGCCCTGACTCCGGGGTTCAATATCAAGTTTCTATCCCGGATTCAGCTTTTTCTTTCGGTTTTATTTTTGGAGGTTTTCGAAACAATTTTGGGTAGGAGGCTGACTACACAGTGGTCTTATTTTGAATTCCAGATTTTTATGGGTTCTTTTACGTGTACACCACGCTAGAAAATCTCGATTAACTGTCGGCCAACATCCCGTTTGAGCCCGGTAAGTCCTGGTTAGCGAACCTGGTCTCCTTTTCAATAAGCAAATGCGGCTCCTGGTGTTGATCAAAATTATTTACAATTATTTTCTTGGTGCCTTTAATTTTTGGCTTTTAATGTTTGGGTGGTAGGAATATCAAAATTGTGTACATAAACCACAGGTAGTTCCAGTTACATCAACATGTTATTGTACTGGTTAACCCGTAGAATAACGAGTTCATTTGATATATACCAGACCAAAACAACACTACATTTCTTTTATACCATTGCATTGATAGAAACATGACGCACGTGTAATTACATCATTAGGTTCGTGTGACAATCTATTTCATTCATAAAATCTTAGGTTTGTTTATCATAAAATGCCTATCGATCTTCTAGTCATTGGCAAGCAAAATATTTTGATGGAGATGGATCGACAATTGTTAAATGAAAACAAAACGCAATTTTTAAGAATCCATTAATATTGTGAATTTGTAAAAGTTTCTTTTTTTCCAGGCTTTGCAGCTTTAATCAGGTCAGGTTTTATATCAACATAACATATTGAGAAAAACAAATGCATCTATGATTAAAATAATCGTTTAGAGACATTTAGTAACTGGAGAGAGCAATACACAATAACACATACTTATGGAAAAACAGCTTATTTATTTGGAAGACTTTTCGAAGAGCATTCTATCAACGTTATCACGCTATTGATTACAGATTTATAACGAGAATAACAACAGTCATTTAACACAAATAATACACAAAGAAAAAAAGATCGCAACACCCATATTGAATATAAATAGTGTTAGTGTTTGATCAGATATGTAAGATCTTTGGCGTTCTTGAGGGTATTCAATCAAAATCAGCAAAGCAAGACAACCACCCACGTTTAGATTGTGAATTTAATGTGATTTTGTCGGGTTCTAAAATAGAGACGGAAAATGTGTGAACGTCCATAAAGCCACGTTGGCTCAGTCACTATATTATAACAAGGTCCGGGCTGATCCCGGTGTGGTTATAAAGCTCCTCAGGATTATCCAGTGTGGTTTCTCCCTGTCAGTGGTGTAGTGGGCCCGACAACAAACCGCAACTAGATGGCACGAAAATACGAGGTCCCGTGTCGTAAAAGGACACTTGAGAGTTGAAATTCGACGAATACTAAGACTGGGCAAAATTACCCGCATAGCACACTGCATGGCGTATCCCTGTCTTCATAAGCTCGGTTAGAGCAGAAAAGTAGGTTGTTAAACAGAGTTTCATGTCAGGGGGGATAATCCATATGTTGATTATATTCATAAACTTCTAGGCCAATTTCATCACCACAAAACCACACATATTCTTTAGTATTAAGCATAGGATCAAAATTGTATCCCTATAAAATCGATTATGTCCGCGTAAGGAACTAAATTGCCACAAATTGTGTGGTGACAGTAATCGTTAAAACTGACGGATAATTCTAGCCTCTAGCTGTTCAAATTTTTGGTATGGTTTATAATGTAGAGAACGATCTATTCAAAAACAGATTAAGAGACAAACTTAATACTTTAGATTTGGTGGTTATTTTAAAATCACACGCAATGTTAGGATAGTAGGAGTTAATTACCATATTTAACGTAGTAATATTATCTTATTTCGTCACTAAAGATTTTATATATTCTGTAGATTGACTTGATGTATTGGGTGGCGTATTCGAAGCAAATATAATATAT